GGGCACCCCCGAGCGCGGCGCTTTGCCCGCTCCCCGGTTCGCAGCGCGCCGGATGCCCTCTCTTCTAGGCATCCGCGCTTGGGGGCGAGGGCTGGGCGGCTCTGGGGGCTGGGGGAAGAAGGTGCCTGGCCCCCTGGTGTGCGCGCTCGTGCGCGCGCTGTGTGCTAGGTGGGGAAGAGGTACAGAAGAGCTGCCTCCCTTAGGGTTCGCTCCTTCGGGTCCCGTGGTCCCCACCCCCACCCCTCTGAGGAGCTGAGCACTCGTGCGGCTTTGGAGAACTGCGATCTTCTTTCCCGCCCGCAGTCTCGGTGGTGTGTGCAGGTTACCCCCTCTTCACCGTCCACACCCAGCGACCATCAGGACGCCCCCTGTTCCCGGCCCGAAGACTGTAAGAGCCATGGAATGAGAGAGTGGTGGCAGGACCGGCCGGGGCGTGTGCGGGGAAGGCTAGAGTTGCTCGAGTATTGTCTGCCGGGGCCGGTGCTTGCGCTCGGGTGTTTCCTCACGCTTTCAGGGACAGGGAGGGGATGGATGGGGGGAGGGAATGGGTTTGCCGAACTTATTCCGAGGGCTGAGTGTGTACATGCCCTTGGAGCCTTGTGCACGTTTGGACGAGGGTTAATGGAGGCACGTGGGAGCAGTATTGGTCTCTGCCGGGTCCCCAAAGACCCTCTTGGGATGGTCCAGCGCGTGTTCGGGTTGGGAGGGAAGGGAAAGTGTTGTGTGTGAATATCCGTCCTAGGGAGAGGGAGATGTCTCAAGGAGACTTGGTTTTCCTGGATTTGCTGCAATTATATAAACCAAATCGGGCTTTCGAGGCGTTAAAGTAAATTACGGGTAAGTGGGACGGATCTCTTGTTGGGGATAAAGAAGCCCTGGGGTTTGCGGGGTAGCGGGCTTGGTTAGCAAGCTCACTCGGTGGATTCTGGCGCTGTTTCGCCTGGGTGGTAGGGATGGGGGGGTGCTTGTATTTTTTGATTTAGGTGCTGGATCTGAGACACTTGTCCTGCGTAGACTGTGGGACTCGGGAGAGGCAAAAAGCTGCGCGCCGCGGTCTGTTATTCGCAGTTAACTCCAGAGTCCGTCTGTCTGTCTCCGTCTCTCTCCGATAGACGCACTCACACTCTCATTTCATGGCTGCTTGAGCTTGTTGGTACTCATGGATTTTTATTCCGCTGTCTGTTCCTTTCCTGACTTTTTTTTTTTTTTTTAAAGGTAAAAGGACCTACCTGTATTAAAATTCGTGGAGTGTCAGAAAGATCTTTTCAGCACTCATTCATATTCAATTAAGGAATAGGGTATTGTGATGAAAATACTTCACCAAACTGCTGTATATTGGACAAAACTCTAGTTCAGGTTAGAATTATTATTTTCTTAAATAGACATCTTGCAGCCTTGTGGTAAAGTAACCTTAGCCTGGGTCTCTCCCTCTCTTTTTTCTTTGTGGTAATTTACAGAATTCTTAATTATCCGATTAACAAAGTGAAGCTGTATTCTATTTTCAAACGACAGATGTTGAAATGACTGTAAGTTGGGTTCTGTGACTCTATCTCTTTCTTTAATGAATTGATCTGAGTGGTGTATAGTTGATGATCTGAGACTTATGTATGTTTTAATTTCTAATCAAATAATTTATCAGAACATTGGAGGGGAGGGATACCGTAGACAGTTTTCACTCAGAAGAGAAATAACACTTGTGTTTTTTGGAGCAAATATTTTGCCACTTTTCCGCCAAATGTCCCTGTTAGATGCCTGGAAAAGATGCATTGTTGACGAATAATGCATGATTTATTTCTCTTTTATGTCTACAGGTGGCAGTGTAGAAGCCAAAACAGAAGCCTCCAGAAGTGGTTTCTGAAAAATAAGAGTTGAATGTACATGAGTAAGCAAGCACAGGAATCTGAAAAACCACAGGTATGTAGGGACAATTAATCCACCTATCTGGCTTTATAATTATTGCATTCCAGCAGTACTACCCATTTGCTCTTATGTTCAATATTTTGACATTTATATAAATTTCTTTGATATTTCAGAGGGCAAACAAGCTTAATCTATTTCAGGCAATGTATTTAAATAAAAATACTGCATGTTGTGACTTTTTACTGTTCTAAAACGGAAGCATTATTTTTCCATTGTGACCACGTGGCTTTGCATTTAACCAGTTGTGCTTGATACTTGCTTTTAGAAACACTTTTCCCAAAACTGTATAAAACTGCTAATTGTTCTGAATAATTTCATTTGGGATACTGTTAATAAAGTCACAGGGTTGAACCAATAACAGTATTGGCTTGTAGTAAAACTGCATTTCACTACTGATTTGACATGACACTGATCAGAATACAGATGCATTAGGAGGCTCCTTTGAAACCAAGTCCTTTGTTTTTAACCTCCTTATTTTTCTCCTACTACCCTGCTGCTTTTCCAGGCCCGCTAATTTGCCTGCTTGACTAAAATAAGGATGAGTTATATGCAGATGAGAGACAATCAAGTGTGTAAAGTTATTCACTGTGACACAATTCGAAAGAATTTGCCTTTCATTATCATTAAAATGCAAGGTTTTGCATATTAAGGTCCTTTTTCAACAACTGGTCAGCACATCATTCTGAATGACAGAAAAGCCAGAGGGGGGAAATAGTTTACCTTTGTGGATTTTTATTTTCTTCCCTGAGAATGGTGGGCCATAGCTATTGGTACTTTCACAGGGAAGCTAAAGTTACTGTGTTGGCTGTGTAAAGGCCAAGGCATCAAAATGGCTGTAAAAGGGAATGAAGCTTTCTCTTCTTGGGGGTGGGGGCAGGGTGCGCGTTTATCGCAGTGCCGGAATGTGGTGATGCCTTGTGATTTTTGACATTCTGCCTTTACAGTTGAGGAGAGATTTGTTTAGCCCCTGTTAATGAGGGTGTTAAACAAAGTTGGATGCTGGTCTTGAAGGTTAAAAAAAAATCAAATCGGACACTTTTCAGTAGAAAGAAAATTGGGAGCTCCGACTCAGAAACTATAGACTAAAGACTGAAAGGTTCTCACTGTTAGGATCCCATGGATAAGGAGTGGCTTCAGGAAAGCTCTTGAACATTTGGGAACACATAAGTTTCCATTGCCTGAGACTCAAATTTATTATCTGACTCAGGAAACTCAGAAGTAACTAATTATCCCCCAATGTGTTTAAGAGGTACAGGGTCTGATCTAAGTCAAAAGGAAAAAGAGCAAGGTTGAGATTTCCTTTTTTTTAAATTATGGCATACAAAATTGTAGACATTAGGTGCTTTAGAGATATTTTTGCTTTTGAGGCAGAACATACACACAATAAAGTGTAAAATGTGTTAAAGTATACTGCTCAATGAAATTTTACATGTGTGTATGCCATGTGACCATCACCTGGGTCAAGATGTAGAACAAACATTTCCAGCACCCCAGAACATTTCTTCATCCTCTTCTATTCAGTATTTGTCTCCCCTCCAATGTAAGGGTAACCACATTATGATTTTTAAAAACTATCTACTAGTTTTGTCTGCTTTTAAGCTCCATATAAATAGTATCATATAGTAGGAATTCTTTTTTTTGTATGTCTTACATGTAACATAATGTGTATGAAATTCATCCATACGGTTTTGTGTATTAGTAGTTCCATCTAATCTATTGTTGAGAAGTAATTCCATTGTATGCATATACTACAATTTGTTTATTCATTTCTCTGTTGGATCTTTGGATTGTTTCCAGTTTGGGCAAGTAAGAATAAAGCAGCTGTGAACATTCTTGCTTATGTCTTTTGGTACACATGCCCACTCACTTATCTGGAATTGCAGGCTAATAGGGCAATCGTGTATTTAACTTTAGTAGATATTGCCAAACAGTTTTCCACAGTGATTGTATCAATTTAAGTTGTACCAGTAGTTGGATCTACATTTTCTTTCCTTATTTTATTTTTTATTATTTTAGAGACGAGTTCTCACCAAGTTTCCCAGGCTGGTCTCGAACCCCTGGGCTCAGGCAATCCTCTCATTTCGGCCTTCCAAAGTGCTGGGATTATAGGTATAAGCCACCATGCCTGGCCTGGGTCTACATTTTAATTAACATTTGATTTTATCTATCTTTTTAATTTTATCTTTTTTGGTAGGGCACAGTGGTATCACCTTGTGGGTTTTAAAAATATGTTACTTTTAATTGTAGTAAAAGACACATATATACAACTTTACCATCTTAATTATTTTAAAGTGTACAGTTAGTGGCATTGAGTGCATTCACAGCTGGGCGCGGTGGCTCACACCTATAATCCCAGCATTTAGGGAGGCTGAGGTGAGAGGATTGCCTGAGCTCATGGGTTCGAGACCAGTCTGGGCAGCTAGGTGAGACCTCATCTCTACAGTAAATAAAAAAATTAGCTGGGCATGGTGGCATGTGCCTGTAGTTCCAGCTACTCAGAAGGCTGAAGCGGAAGGATCACCTGAGCCCAGCAGGCCAAGGCTGTGGTGGCCATGAGCATGCCATTGCACTCCAGCCTGGGTGACAAGGTGAGACTCCAACTAAAAAAAAAAAAGGACATTCACATTGTGTAACCATAAGCACTACCCACCTCTAAAACTCTTTTTTGTCTTGCAAAACTGAAACTGTGTCCTTTAAAAAATAATGCCCAATTTCCCTCAGCCCTAGCAACCACCATTTTGCCTTTTGTCTCTATGAATTTGAGTACTTTATGTATGTCATATAAGTTGAATCAGACAACATGTACCTTTTTATGACTGGCTTATTTCACTTAGCATAATGTCCTTAAGGTTTAACTGTATTTTAGCATGCATTAGAATTTCATTTTGAAGACTGAATAATATTCCATTGTGTGTGTGTGTGTGTGTGTATGTATGTGTGTTTGTGTACACCACATTTTTGTATATCCATTCATTTTTTTAGTGGACACTGGGTTGCTTTCACCTTTTGTCTATTGTGAATAATGTTGCTATGAACTTGGATGTATAGACACCTCTTCGAATCCCTGCTTTCAGTTCTTTTGAGTGTATACTCAGAAGTGGAATTTCTGGGTCATGATAATTCTATTAATTTTTTTTTAGAACCAGCCATACTATTTCCATAACAGCTGCATTATTGTACATTCCCACCAGCAGTGCACAGGGTTCCCAATTTCTCCATGTATTCACTGACACATTATTATTATTATTATCATTATTATCTTGAGTCAGTCTCACTCTGCTGCCCAGGCTGGAGTGCAGTGGCATGCTCACAGCCACCGCAACCGACCTGCTGGACTCAGGTGATCCTTCCGCTTTAGCTTCCAAGTGGCTAGAACCACAGGCATGTTCTACCACGTCTGGCTAATTTTTTTTAATTTTTTGTAGAGACGAGGTCTCATGTTGCTCAGGCTGGTCTCGAACCCCTGAGCTCAGGTAATCCTCTTGCCTCCACCTCCCAAAGTGCTGGGATTACAGGCCTGAACCACCTCGCCCAGCTATATTTTTGATAATTAACCATCTTAGTGGATATGAGGTGGTCCTTGTGGTTTTAATTTGCATTTCCTGGGGAATAATGATGCTAAATGCCATTTCATATACTTATTGGCATTTGGATAGCCTTTTGTGAAGTGCTTGTTCAAATCTTTTGCGCATTTTTGAATTGGGTTTTTTTTCTTATTTCTCTGTAATACTCATTTTATATTCTACATGAGTTCTTTGTCAGATATGTATTACAAATATTTTTTGTATTATAGTCTTTTCATTGTCTTAACGGTATCTTTTGATGACTTTTAATGAAATCCAATTTTTTTTTTTCTTTTATGGCTATTTTTTTTTGTGTTCTATTCATGAAATCTTTGCTTATTTCTGGGTTATTTCTTAAAACCTCCTTTTTAGTTACTGAAAACATTGGAGACAATCTGGAAGATGTAGTAAATTAACTGTAAGTATATTTCAAATATGTGCCCTAAATATGAAAGTTTGTGATATTCTTTGCTATAGCAGGTGGCAGAAAAGGGGTTTGAAAAAAAAATGTGTTTACATGGACAAAGACACAATTTTTTTTTTTTTTTTTGAGTCTCACTCTGCTGCCCAGGCTGGAGTGCAGTGGCACTCTCCCGGTCACCACAGCCTCGACCTGCTGGGCTCCGGCAATCCTTCCGCCTCCAGCCAAGTAGCTGGAACTACAGGCACACGCTACCACGCTCAGCTAATTTTTTTTTTTATTTATTGTAGAGAGGAGGTCTCGCCAAGTTGCCCAGGTGGGTCTCGAACCTGCGGGCTCAGGCAATTCACTCACCTCTGCCTCCCAAAGTGCGGGATTACAGGCTGAGCCACCAAGCCCGGCCAACAAAGACACTATTACTCAAGTGGCCCCATGGCCCCCATTGCTGTCTACCCTTAGCACTGATTACGCACTTAGTGCCCCTTCTAGAGTGGGAGGAACCATAGGGAAGAGCATAGTGGTGACTTAGCTATAGGAAAGAATGTGACAAAATGGATAGATTTCCATGCTTTCTCAATTTGTTATCTGTGCTTGCTGAATGATTCTTCCCCTCTCCTCTTCCATCCCCTAGGATAATTGCTGCTGCTTCTTTCCTAAGCCCTTCAGGATTCTACCATTTATTAACTTTTTCTCTTTATATATTATCCCATAATGCACTGTATTCATGTTCACTTTCATGTCTTGAGCTGTCCTCCTCCTCCTGCCCCATATTCCTCAGATTCTCCTGGTCTTTATCCCTGCTCCCACCACTTGTCCCTCAACTCAGAGTCCAGATCTGTATCCTTACCTGCCTCCTGGTCATCTTTCTCTGGATGTCCCATGGGTACCTTCATACAAAACACCTATTATTCCTCTCCAGTCTGCTCTTCTGTTTTCCTGTCCTAATTAATATATTTAGCATTTGTCTAGAATTCTCTCTTGGGACTATCCCTGACTCCTGCACAACTTTTATCACCTTCACATCCCATATTTTGTTGGTCATCAAGGCTTCTGAGTCTCCCGGTGCTGAAACATCTTTCAAAGACATCTTCTCTTCCTCATGTTCGTTACCTCATGGTTTAGGGTCTTTAATCTCTTCAGGATTGTAGTAATAGCCTCCCAACTGATCTCTCTGATTCGTACTCTTGCCTATAATCCATCTTCCATTTGTCATCAGCCTTCTTTTCCTAAAACACAGATTTAATCATGCTATCTCCTCTTAAAAACGATTTGTAGCTCTCCACCGCCACAAGAAGCATTCAAGTCCCTAAGCGTGATTTATAACGTGAGACCCTTCATTATTTGCTTTCACTCTGTTTTTTCTGCTCCGTCATCTGGCATTTCCTCCCCACACTCCATCTGTCCTAAACTATTTTCCATTCCTAGAACATTCCTTGAGTTCTTTTCTGCATCTATGCTTTTGTACATGCTGTTTCTTCTACTTCCAGTGTCCATACCTACCTGGTGAATTACTATTTTTATTTTAAAAGCCAGCTCAGTTGTGGCCTCTTTGAACCTTCCTAGTCTTTAAGTAGACCCTATTATTTGTCCCTCTCTTAGTGTGGTTAGAGGAAGTGTCTACAATTACAAGCACTATTGCGTATTAATCTTTGTGTCCTCAGTAAC